ATCATCATCAGGCTGCGGCAGTCCTCTACCGGACATGGATCACTGTCAAAGCTAGCGAGCTCAGTTAGTGTAAAGGCGACCGATGGGTTAATGGATGCTGGTGGCTTATTCCTTAGACCGTACTTAGGGTCATAAATTGATGGATTCCCACGTATTTACTTGTGATGACTGGAATGAAATTCAGTAGTGTACTTCTGATGTCTGGAATAATATTCTCGTGATAACTTGCCTTATGACCCTTATAATAACAATTTCATTTAAATTAATTTCGATTCAGTACACGCGTTTGCGTCTGCATAGGATTTGTCTTTTTTCTGAGTTTTGGAAGTTTTTGTCAAAGTGCACCTATAATGTAGCTTAGCTAATGTAAACCCCTCTATGTGGCGGCAATTTTGTTTTTTCTAGAGATATTATCTAGAATATTATAAACTTATTTGCCTCGATTTATGAAAATTCTACCTATTCCCTGGGATAGACCCATGTAGTGCATTGTACTGTTACAGGTGAAGAAGAAGACTAGATCATGTGAAAGATTTTTATCTTCACGCGCATATGAAGATCTACGTTGATGCCCTTCTTGTCGCTTCTGTCAATAGTGACAACTAAATAGTCGGACATAGAGGGGGAGGGGATTAGACCTCAGTATGTAGTGTATTTTTGTATTAAAATTGCTGTATTATAAGTACCTAAAATATCGCTAGTCCGTGACCGGATACACTGTATATTATCGAAAGTTCTCGTAATTTTAAGGTTTACAGTGGATTCGTGTAAACATATGTCCGTGTCACATATAGTCGCTACATTTTCACTAGTTTCGTTTTTTTTTTCTTTGAAAGGGAAATGCTGAGTGATTGATACTAAACAGTCTATTTAGAGTTGACTGAGATCAATAATGAATAATAAGGACATGATTAAAAATCTAATTTTTCTCTCTTTCATTTGTGGCGAAGCTGTTATTGGGCCATTAGCGAAACACACCAATGCCTAAATCTCGCTATTTATATTTCAAAATATAGCGGTATATATATTTAGAGTAGTTTTGTACTACAAAATGGAGCTTTAGCCGCTCTCCGGGATGATCACCGTGCCCCATAGGATCACATTAGTAATTAAAATGCAAAAAAGCGTATGTTTGCTTAGCTCGCGCACTTTGCTACTAGTCTAGAAATAATAGTTCAGCAGAAAAATTAAAACTCTTTAGGCCCTTAGAACGTACTGAAAAAAATCATTGTGGCTTCAACTTCTGGAGACCTCCGATCTAGCTGGGCTGCATTAGTAACTTATCCTCAGGTGGACTGTAAGTTTGTTTGTTACTTCGATTCCATAAAAAAATCATTATGGCTTCAACTTTTGGAGACCTCCGATCTAGCTGGGCTGCATTAGTAACTTATCCTCAGGTGGACTGTAAGTTTGTTTGTTACTTCGATTCCATAAAAAAAATCATTATGGCTTCAACTTTTGGAGACCTCCGATCTAGCTGGGCTGCATTAGTAACTTATCCTCAGGTGGACTGTAAGTTTGTTTGTTACTTCGATTCCATAAAAAAATCATTATGGCTTCAACTTTTGGAGACCTCCGATCTAGCTGGGCTGCATTAGTAACTTATCCTCAGGTGGACTGTAAGTTTGTTTGTTACTTCGATTCCATAAAAAAATCATTATGGCTTCAACTTTTGGAGACCTCCGATCTAGCTGGGCTGCATTAGTAACTTATCCTCAGGTGGACTGTAAGTTTGTTTGTTACTTCGATTCCATAAAAAAAATCATTATGGCTTCAACTTTTGGAGACCTCCGATCTAGCTGGGCTGCATTAGTAACTTATCCTCAGGTGGACTGTAAGTTTGTTTGTTACTTCGATTCCATAAAAAAATCATTATGGCTTCAACTTTTGGAGACCTCCGATCTAGCTGGGCTGCATTAGTAACTTATCCTCAGGTGGACTGTAAGTTTGTTTGTTACTTCGATTCCATAAAAAAATCATTATGGCTTCAACTTTTGGAGACCTCCGATCTAGCTGGGCTGCATTAGTAACTTATCATCAGGTGGACTGTAAGTTTGTTTGTTACTTCGATTCCATAAAAAAATCATTATGGCTTCAACTTTTGGAGACCTCCGATCTAGCTGGGCTGCATTAGAAACTTATCCTCAGGTGGACTGTAAGTTTGTTTGTTACTTCGATTCCATAAAAAAATCATTATGGCTTCAACTTTTGGAGACCTCCGATCTAGCTGGGCTGCATTAGTAACTTATCCTCAGGTGGACTGTAAGTTTGTTTGTTACTTCGATTCCATAAAAAAATCATTATGGCTTCAACTTTTGGAGACCTCCGATCTAGCTGGGCTGCATTAGTAACTTATCCTCAGGTGGACTGTAAGTTTATTTGTTACTTCGATTCCATAAAAAAAATCATTATGGCTTCAACTTTTGGAGACCTCCGATCTAGCTGGGCTGCATTAGTAACTTATCCTCAGGTGGACTGTAAGTTTGTTTGTTACTTCGATTCCATAAAAAAATCATTATGGCTTCAACTTTTGGAGACCTCCGATCTAGCTGGGCTGCATTAGTAACTTATCATCACGTGGACTGTAAGTTTGTTTGTTACTTCGATTCCATAAAAAAATCATTATGGCTTCAACTTTTGGAGACCTCCGATCTAGCTGGGCTGCATTAGAAACTTATCCTCAGGTGGACTGTAAGTTTGTTTGTTACTTCGATTCCATAAAAAAATCATTATGGCTTCAACTTTTGGAGACCTCCGATCTAGCTGGGCTGCATTAGTAACTTATCCTCAGGTGGACTGTAAGTTTGTTTGTTACTTCGATTCCATAAAAAAATCATTATGGCTTCAACTTTTGGAGACCTCCGATCTAGCTGGGCTGCATTAGTAACTTATCCTCAGGTGGACTGTAAGTTTGTTTGTTACTTCGATTCCATAAAAAAATCATTATGGCTTCAACTTTTGGAGACCTCCGATCTAGCTGGGCTGCATTAGTAACTTATCCTCAGGTGGACTGTAAGTTTGTTTGTTACTTCGATTCCATAAAAAAATCATTATGGCTTCAACTTTTGGAGACCTCCGATCTAGCTGGGCTGCATTAGTAACTTATCATCACGTGGACTGTAAGTTTGTTTGTTACTTCGATTCCATAAAAAAATCATTATGGCTTCAACTTTTGGAGACCTCCGATCTAGCTGGGCTGCATTAGAAACTTATCCTCAGGTGGACTGTAAGTTTGTTTGTTACTTCGATTCCATAAAAAAATCATTATGGCTTCAACTTTTGGAGACCTCCGATCTAGCTGGGCTGCATTAGTAACTTATCCTCAGGTGGACTGTAAGTTTGTTTGTTACTTCGATTCCATAAAAAAATCATTATGGCTTCAACTTTTGGAGACCTCCGATCTAGCTGGGCTGCATTAGTAACTTATCCTCAGGTGGACTGTAAGTTTGTTTGTTACTTCGATTCCATAAAAAAATCATTATGGCTTCAACTTTTGGAGACCTCCGATCTAGCTGGGCTGCATTAGTAACTTATCCTCAGGTGGACTGTAAGTTTGTTTGTTACTTCGATTCCATAAAAAAATCATTATGGCTTCAACTTTTGGAGACCTCCGATCTAGCTGGGCTGCATTAGTAACTTATCATCACGTGGACTGTAAGTTTGTTTGTTACTTCGATTCCATAAAAAAATCATTATGGCTTCAACTTTTGGAGACCTCCGATCTAGCTGGGCTGCATTAGAAACTTATCCTCAGGTGGACTGTAAGTTTGTTTGTTACTTCGATTCCATAAAAAAATCATTATGGCTTCAACTTTTGGAGACCTCCGATCTAGCTGGGCTGCATTAGTAACTTATCCTCAGGTGGACTGTAAGTTTGTTTGTTACTTCGATTCCATAAAAAAATCATTATGGCTTCAACTTTTGGAGACCTCCGATCTAGCTGGGCTGCATTAGTAACTTATCCTCAGGTGGACTGTAAGTTTGTTTGTTACTTCGATTCCATAAAAAAATCATTATGGCTTCAACTTTTGGAGACCTCCGATCTAGCTGGGCTGCATTAGTAACTTATCCTCAGGTGGACTGTAAGTTTGTTTGTTACTTCGATTCCATAAAAAAATCATTATGGCTTCAACTTTTGGAGACCTCCGATCTAGCTGGGCTGCATTAGTAACTTATCCTCAGGTGGACTGTAAGTTTGTTTGTTACTTCGATTCCATAAAAACAATTTACTGTAAAGATTAGATTTAAAAAAAAATAGAGTAACTTCAATAACTTATTATATGTAAATCAACTAAAATATTTTGAATCTTCACAGATCGAAAGTATTTTGTTTGAAACCACAAAATCAAGTCGAACGTATTTTTATTACTTATCATATATAAGTCAATAATTATCATATTATTGACTGCGTCGTTGGTCTAGTGGTTGTAGTAGTGCGACTGCTGATCATGAGGTATTGGGTTCGAATCCCGCGTCGAGCCAAAAAAACTAATTATTGAGTTTTGTCCGTCAGGAAACTCTCAGTAGTTGCCTGGAGTCAGGAAGTTGACGGTGTCTCACCCTCGTGCCTCGGAAAGCACGTAAAGCCGTTGGTCCTGCGCCTGATCTCTCGCCGGTCGTGTCGGTTTACCATTCCATCGTACAATGAGAGTGAGGGAATAGAGAGTGCACCTGTGCTTGCGCATACACTTGGGCATTATAATCCTGTCCTGCGCCGATGGCTAGCCTTCGCTGAGGCAGGCTGCCGTGGCCGAAATTTGGTCTGGAGGACATATTACTTATCATATTAGTGCGAAAATATATTCAATTTTATTTCTTTGTTTCAGAATTGAATGCGGTTAAAATAGTGAAAATAGTGGTGCCAGAAATAATACAGTACGGTGTGCAGGACGCTGTGATTCTAGACTGTGACTATATTTACGGGACTGGTTGTGAAGTGGTTTTTCAGAAACAAAGCCAGACCTGTCTACCAATGGATCGTGTCGCAAAAGCCACAGGAAATGGGGATATTGAGAAGTCGTGTTGACTTAGCCTACAGAGCATCAAGCGATCCATTAAAAATGCACAGAGCACTCCGCATAGTGAAGCCCAACACCGACATCTCTGGTGATTACACGTGTGTCGTTTCAACATTCATGGAAGAGGATTCAAGAACGAAGCAAATGATTGTTTTTGGTAAGTTACTTTGTTAAGCTCGTTAAAATATGTCAAATATTTAAACAAAACCACACGGATGATGTAGCTATTTGCGTTGAAATTTAAACTTAACTATTGAACTTAATGATTTGTTACATTTACGCAAACACTGCACATTTAACTAAAGCTAGATTTTACTGAATTTATTAACTAATATATATTATCGAAGTTTTGAGTACATTACATCACCCAGAATAATTCTGGGTAGTTCGTTCAGATCATTCAGTTACTAAGTAAGTAACTGAATGATCTGAACGAACTTTACTACTTAAGTACTTATTTTATAGTAAAATATAAAATAAGTTAATATAGGTACGCGATGAAATCCGTAAAATCTAATTTTTTTAAATGTGCGTACTTTGTGTTCGCGTAAACATAATAAATTATTATTAAAACAAATCGTTCTTATGACGTTGCTCTTCATCAACGGGTCTGAGTTTTTTTTTATCACGATTAAATCAAAAATGCCTAACAATAGTCTCTGCTGAATCAGAACTTAAAAATCTCCGAAATATCCTTCACCGCAGAGCAAGGAGTAAATCAGCGCTTAAAATTGCAAATATCAATTTGATTGACGCCGGCAGAGATCGAATCCGAGTTGCTGATGATATTATATTGTAGTCCTCGTTTTTATTCATTCCCTTAATAGAGAAATATATTGGGTACGTTAATATTAATCGTAATTTAAAAACAATCTTGATTGGACACGCCATTTGTAAAGATGCTTATCTTTACAAATGGCGTGTCCAATCAAGATTGTTTTTAAATTGGCCTGCTTCATTTCCCCCGACTGCCTTACGAATGCCTTAAGCGTAAAAGGAGATGCGTAGCAAATAGCAAATTCTCTATTAAGTGACTTCAAATCTAAAAAAAAAATCTACTTTAGAAAGTATACTCCTAAATAGAAATATACTCTAAAATATTTTCCTATTATATTTTTTTTTAAATCACATTTTAAGTTAATGCTCATGTAACCTTCATTTTAAATGATATAACTTATATATTATGTCATCCCTACACGTCTTCCCCATTGAACGCCTCAGTTGAAAGATCTAGAGGCTGCGGTTGGCAGAGTGGCCATGACCGGTGATCAACCGATCACGGTAGCCTCTGTGTATCTTTCTGGGAATAAGAAAGTGCTTAAGTGTGACTTTGAGGCACAAAATCGGAGACCGGGGTCGGTCACGGGGGCGGACTGAGATGTTCAACGTCCAGATGTCACAGATAACCGCAGTTACCACAGATTAAAAATATTAATTTTTGTTCCGATCGACGCAGTATGAACTTATAATATGTTGAAGTCTTGCACTTGTATGCTTGGGTTGGGATCTAATTTTATTAAATATAGCATAGGATAGGGAGCAGCAATCTACTAACATTACGGTGGCTAGTGAACTGGCTACTGCAGCACATGGACACCTGCAACTAACTTCAAATGAAGAAGGCTACAGACGCCTTGTAATCATGGTGGTGTACATTTTTGGCACTTTAGTGGGCGGATACGTTTAGTGTGATTGAAACAAATATATATTTTAAATTTGAACAACAAGCTTACGATAGAATGAGAAACACATTTCTAATAAGAATTCAGTGCTTGGAAATCGACCCATAAATTCGCTTGTGTACTGAGATTACCCAAGGCCAATCAGGTGGTTATGTAGACTAAGATGGAATGCCTTAACTGTTATTACCTTAACCTGAAATTATACCGGCTCTGTCTCTATTACCTTCTGGAACATGAAACGTGGATGAACCCGAGTGCAACTTGACCATTTCACTGTCCCGTAAGTCACACTCATATAAATATGAACATTTCGATCGTTTAACTCTTGTGTTTTTTCGCTGACAGGGAAACTGTTAAAATCATAAAACTTTTAGCGCTCTGAACGTAAAATTAAATTTTGTAGAACGTAAGTAATGATCTTGTATTAATCGTACTGAAATTTAAGCTGTGAAAATCCAACTCAAATTTCATTTAGTAGTTACTCGAGGTTATCCAATAATACATTTCTTGAGAAGGGTTAAGCGATATCGTATATTAGGCCCGATATGGGTGAAGTGTTTGAAGTATAATTTAGCAAATTGTCCGCCTTTGAATTATATATAGAATACTATCCTGTTAATTCATCCAAATTCCATCTGCCTACGGAACGGTTACAGCTTTTGTTCGAAGTTTAAAATCGATTGCTTTTTGTATTAGTAGGTTTAATTTATTAGAAGATTCGAAATGAAGCACATTGAGAAAATAAAGTTACAATTTTCAAATAAAACCTTTTTAGAAAGTATCTAAGGATTTATTTATTTGACAAAAATAAAACAAAAAAGAAAAAAAATTAAACAGTTCTTTACGTTAATTAAGAATACATGAACGATATTGTTTCTTTTTAATGTTTTTAAAAACATGCGATAATTTTTTGTGACCATTTAATTAGTGTAAAATTGCTCAATAACAGCAGTTAGCTCAGTATCAGAATGCTTCATATTTCATAACACAATCAGATTTTATAGAATAAAGTTGACAAACGAGCACACAGTCCATCTGATGATAAGTAGATGCTGTGGCTCAAAGACATAATATTATATGAATCAAAATGCAGATGTGTTGTCACCCCTGAGGACTAAGACGGAATGCCTCGTTTCCAGAAAAACTTGTATTCCGTGAGAGAGTAGTTCTACCCTAGTAAAGCCGACCCATTCGTGCTACAATCATAATGTTACTGTAGCGTGGCTCTACCACTTATATTCGATCATTGGAACAAATGAATCGCAAATTGAAACGCAACGTTTTACAACGTTCTTACCAATAAATATGTTGTGTGACAATTGGCATGGCTTGTAATACAAGTTATTGTTGTATTGCACCAATGGGCACGGGGGCGACATAGGTCGTTTTAACTAGGAGCCTGCCAATAATGGTGCATGTGATCTACAGTGAGATGACTGTTTTTCTTTAACTATCCTTTAAGGAAATATATGTATATACATATATATATATATATATATATATATATATATATATATATATATATATATATATATATATATATATATATATATATATATTTATCCTTTAAGCAAAGTAAAATACAAATTAAAGTATTTAAAAAAAAGCGGAAAATGACGGGAATTGAATCACCGTAATAGATGACTGTTACTGACAATAGATATTTGACACATAGCCGGAATGGGTGTTTTGACTGTTGAGCGGATAAGGAACTTTAACATGATGATTAATACTAGGATCTAATAGAAAAACGCATTATCTAATTAAAATTAAAGTTTATATACAATTTCTATCGTTGAATGTTTCTAATAACTGCAAAAGTGGTTTGAAAAGATTTTGGTTTTTATTGCCCCTCTTCACAAAAACATAATTTGGAAAATCTTGGTTATAGAAGCATTCACGTCCTTTCACCGTAATAGTTCATGGCATTGTGTTCTACAAGTTGTTTTCAAAAATATTTTCTAAGGTTTCGGTGTTTTATGACCAAATACACGCTGCTCAATTTTAGAATGTGATTGTAACACCACAAGACGTTATCTGTGACCAATTTCGTACAAAGGAAGCTACAGATGCGTTATCACCTCTGAGGACGGAGACGAAATTCCGCACAGACTGGAATTGTACTGGCTCTGTACCATACAGAGGAGCTGTCCGGACTTTGGTTCGAGGTATAAATAACTAAGGTCACCCTTACTCATAGCTGTTTTAAACGAAGATGACGTGTGGTGGTGGTGTAAGAGAATTCATTACCCCATTTCCTTTTGTTCGTCATGAAAAATTCAATAATGTATAACAATCTCGCTTACCATAAACGTTTAGTCCTCAAGATGAAGACCGCAGTAGGGCAACCCGTGCTACGATTGCTATTTCATGTAGACTTTACGGATTGACAAAGAAGAATAATTCTGAACAAACCATGTAGCAGTGGTGTAAGAATATTCAGTTTCCTGGATGTCAACAGAGGGAATAAAACAAAAGATGGGCATAAACGTCCTAATAAAAATTATAATTTTTTTATAGTATAAGGGTGACAAACGAGCACACAGTCCACCTGCTGTTACGTGGTTGCTGTGGCCAATAAACATCCACATCTATCCTCGATTAAGAATCAAAATGCAGAAGCTTTGTCACCCGTGAGGGGCTAAGATGGCATTCCATCTTTTCCAGTCCATAGGACCATCAGTTCCAATAAATAGGGTCTCCGGTTCTCTACACTCACCATACGAAACACAGCTTATTATATATTATTAATTAAGCTGCTATTTTATGGTATTCTGTGAGAGCGTGGTCCAACCCCGGTCGAGCCGACCCATTCACAATCACAATCACAATATAGCTGCAGCACGGCTCTACCACGTAACACGTAAATAATAAAATCTTTAAACATATAGTGCTAGCGTTAGCCCACTCATCTGATAAGCGTGGCAAATATGGAAAAATATTTTGACAATCTATGGGAGGGTCTATGTTCAGCCGTGGACGTTCATGCTTCAAATGATGGATGATAACTTCTGAACGCTTTCGAAAGCTGTCCACTGAAGAAAAGTTTTAGAATATTTTTAAACAGTTGGTTTATAAGTTTAAAGCACAATAGAGGATTATTACAAATAGCGAGTGGAATTTTGCAAGCACTGCACTTTTAAACTCATTCAAGTAAAGTTTAAGGTTTTTCTTGAAATAACAGAAGCAACAGATTTAGAGTACGAAACAGCTAAACTAGCTGTAACATAAGGCGTTTCTCTAACCCATACATATTCAGTGTCTCTTCTATTTTAGATGTTATTTGTAAATTAAATTTATTTTATTATATTTCAAGTATAAAAATTAAACTTTTTCGTGCATCAAGTATAATATCTTCTTATTCATCTTAAATAAAATACAGATGGACTGGAGCAGCGAGACGGATAAATTGCTCATTATTTTGCAGAAATGAAAGAGCTATAAAGCAACGTCCCACGCTGATCAAACCTGTGGTCAACGGAGGGACGTATTAGGTTGTTACTCCTTTTTTTCTATACAATGTATATAATAAGTAGTCCCGAATAACAGAAAAATAAATTCACTGAATATGAAATAGACGTTAAGTTAAACCACAGGCGCATATTTATAAAAATGGTGCTGGCAGAAAAATTTTGCATTACTTAAAAATATATTTCACATCTTTTTAGTTTATCCTGATATTTATAATTTTTTAAACCTCCTGACTGTAGTTTCTTACTTATTGCTAAGCAACTGCACTAACGGAGCCCGCGAATTCTAATAAATTAATTAATAAATTTACCTAATAGAATAACAAAAATATCCAGATTCGGATCGAATAATTTTGGTATGTGGGACTTAAAAAAGTCATCGTCTTGTCAGGATTATAGAAGAGACTACGTAACCTTTCATTCCCATGATTAGAGACAAAATCAAAAATAAAATATAACAATAAATTTTGTATCATTTATAGTTACAGCAAACGACGGTGTTACGTATAGATACTTGGTTTGTATCTAAGGAGTATTAAAATTCGCCAAACGTCTTCTTTTCTCTGCAATTTCAATTGCAATATATTGAATTACAAACAAAATAAGACGAGTTCAAAACAAACTATACGAACAATAACCACGAAAACATAAGCTCGGACATCAACTGACAATTATTGATAGTTGATAATGAAGTTTTTGCTTTACAAGAAATGGAAATAGTTTATGCTATTCTAACGTTTGATTATGCAATATTTTTGTTTAACCTTACAGAAGTTAGCGCTGATATAGTCCAATAAATCGTTTGGATATCTATTCATGAGAGGAATCATATTTTTTATAATATAGAGTAAGGGTGACAAACGAGCTCATAGTCCACCTGATGGTTAGTGGATATTGTGGCCTATAGACATCTTAATTTATTCTCGATTAAGAATCAAAACACAGATGCGTTGCCGCCCCTGGGACTAAGATAGAATGCCTCGTTTCAAGAGTCAGGTCTCCGGATCTCTACACTCACTATATGAAACATAGCAGTATTAAGCTGCTATTTTACGCTGGTATTCTGTGAGAGCGTGGTCCTTCGCCGGTCGAGCCGAACCATTCGTGCTACAATCATAATATAGCTGCAGCGTGGCTCTACCACGTATAAAATATATAATAAAGTTTATTCGATATTTAATCAACCAGATATTTTATTCTTTAGATATTTTATAAATTCTATGCATTGTTCAATTATAATAGGAAAACATGATATGTATTTATTACGCCGAAGATGGAAAATACTTTCGCAAATACCACCAAACTATCCGAAGAGGAACATTAAAGTGGTTTCCGATGTGAACGGAAGCGGGTGTCCGTGCAGTTGTCAATTAGCCTGTTTGTATCAAAAGACTACCCTGTGGAGAACTATTTTGAATATTATCATTTCAAGGAGACGGTATTAAATAAATTAAAAATTTAATCACTGATCAGTATTCATTATATTTTTGTACAGTTATACATTATGGGTAGCATCTACAGTATATTATATACATAAAATGAATTATATATTATAAGAAATCCGACGAAGAAACGGTTTCTAGAAACGGTTTGTTTACTGCCTAGCAGCCTGTCTGGACCCTCTTACCTATTTATGTCGCTGAAGCGGTCCGGTTCAATATTAAGGATTTTATTGGAACCAGATTTTTTGAGGTTTCAATCGAGTATATCCAACAAACCAATTTTTCTCAATTTATATAAAATTTAATATAGCTTATATCAACTAAACCTGCCTTAATTAAACTGACAACTGAGACATGAGAATCTAGGATATGGCACTTTATTTAATTATATTATATAGATGATGATAACACATAAAGCCTTAATATACAAAATTAGCTTCTTATGTGTTGTGCTTAGGTAATCTAAACTAAACAACCTGAACAAGCTACTAAATAGTTCTTCACATGTTTTCTCTGATTTCATTGTGTCTGATTCTAGTTGTTGTTATGCTGACCTAATAATAGTTATAATTAAATAATAATAATATATTGGGTTCCATAAATATATATTCCATATATATATATATATATATATATATATATATATATATATATATATATATATATATATATATATATATATATATATATATATATTTATGGAACCCAACCAAATGAGAAAACCATATAGATACCCCAAATAATATAACATAATAATCGTTATTTTTCCTGTGTCACGGAGGCAGTTTACATAAATAAATTGCACAAGGACAAACAAACATTCTGAACCTAAACAATTACTTGTAAGTAATACAAACACTTATTCCGAGCGGGATTAGAATCCGCGCCCCTCAGGGCCACGGATTTTTATTATTCTTACTTCTCATTTGAAAGATACCGTTGCTCATCTTCTGTTTCTGTTTCCATCGATTGCTTTGTACGACACACATGAGATTATATAGGATAGTGATTCACCATAGTACGCCGCCACCACAAGGCACTAGTCTTATTTATACGTGGTAGGGCCAGGCTGCATCTACATTATACTCGAAACACGAATGGGTTGGCATGACAAGGAAAGGACCCCGCTTTCACATAATATCAGCGTAGAATAGCAGCACAATGCTGCCGTGTTTCGTATGGTGAGTGTAGAGATCCGGAGACCCTTTTTACTGGATACGAGCTTTTCCATCTTAGTCCTCTTCTTCCTTCGGTCTGAAAACGCATCTGCATTTTAAATCTTAATCAGGGATAGATGAAGATGTCTACGGACGACAGCATCCACTTACCATCAGGTGGACTTTGTGTCCGCTAGTCATCTTATTCTAAAAAAATAAATCAATTACAACTGTAATATTTGAAAAATAATTACGTATTTTCGCCAGCTGGTGCATTCTTCAAAGGAAATATATCTAGTAGTGGTCTTAAAAAACAGCTAATGTGATAAAAGTGAAGAGAAACTGTAAACTACAAAAATAACTTTCATCAAAGAGCGAGTATAAAATAAGGAAAAAATTGCTTCGAGAAACTTAATACTATGCGAGAGAAGTTTGTCATCTTAGCACGCGCCTGTTTTTGACAGTTCATTAACCATCACCTGCCATCTTAAAAAATATCCTTAGAAGTGTTATGTTTCAGTACCAGAGACGAACTTCCGCCTGATCCAGAACAAGACTGACAATGATACTGTGAACGTCATATGTGCTGCGGACGGAGCGTTTCCTGCGCCAAACCTCACGCTAGCCACACCAAAAAGGTACGTTACTTTTATATTATTTTGTAGTGTAGTTTGAACATAACAACACCATCTTGCCCAACATAAGATTGTTAACATTTTTAAAGTATTTTATTATTCTTTAAGTATTTGTAAATACGTACACTTTTAACGCTGTTTTGCGAGTTAACAAATCATTTAGGTTGCTCTTAAACCAATAAATTATTTCTATTAGAGACAGGTAAATAATTAGTTTTTCAAAAATATGTAAAGTTTCGAAAAGTATTTTTATCAAAAAAGAAACGAAATAACAATTAAAATTATTATTATTATTTAAACGTATGAAACTACATAATTACTTCTAATGTGTCCGGGTTGTTTAAAATCGAAGACTTGTGCTCTACACATAAATTGGCTTACAAGGCAATTGCACCTTATTGCCAACAATCGGCCTACATCGTTACACTGGTGCTTGCGTGATGTTACTTACTTTATTGCATTGATTACGAACTTAGGCACTATATAAATGCAGATGCGGTTTCAAGTCTTAAATACAAGTGGAAAAAATAGATATACCTTGAAATTTAATAAGCTGTCGGCAAAATTATCGCAAACAAAAAGTTCTCTACCATTTTTTATAAGTCATTATTTTTATCCCCGAAATATACGTGACCCGGACAACTTGTCTTAGATTTAATTCCTAGGCTCGTTAAATATAACAAAAATACCTAACTATGCGTGTGAAAATATATAATGAACTACCTAAATAATTTAAATAGTTAAGCTAATGATTATAGATACAAGTAACATTTGTATAATTGATTAAAACTTGATGATGATATAAACTGTTAAAAATTAAATTTTAACATCTTCTCATACCGTGATTCCTGCAAATAAATATTTATGATTTATGAATTTACACTGTGAGAACACAGTGTGTATCGATTTCGGAAGTTTTAGTTAATTTGCAATTGGATGTATGTTGTAATAGATCTGAATTAATTAAAATTGACATCTGAATATTTCTGTACTGAAGGACACCTATGTGTGTGCATGTGTGTGTGCGTGTGTGTGTGTGTGTGCATGTGTGTGTGTGTAAATTTTTCATCTGAACAAATAATTAAGTTTTCAGTAAAATATATTAAGCTTTGTAGTTCTTTTTTTTTATTTAAAATTGTTTGCCAAAGGGCAGTTCATACATATTATATTCATATTAAAAAAACTATATGTTTTATTGAAGGGAAGCTGGATGGAGTTTCTCATGAGTTGAAACTGGTGAACGGCAGATACTCCGCGGTAGCTTCGGTTACGTTGCTCGACGCTGACCTTCCTTCACCTGCGGAGTTTATTTGCACTCTCCGAATACCTTTAGCAAAATACGCAGTAAGGAAAGAAGCAATTTACTATCCGGGTAAGAATTGCTTTTTATTATTTTTTTGTATAATCCTACCATAAAAAGAATAGGCTTAATCGTAAGCAAACTTTTGCTCTTGTCTTATGATTTTTATACAGGCTTGAAGTAAATTTCGTAAGAGTGGTGTCATTTTGTGTATAAATATCTGGAATGGCATCTATTACATGAAACTATGAATTCGCCGGGAAGTCCACGCCGTAACAGATCACTCCATATCCGTACCGTTGCCGTTGTAAGAGACAACTACGGGAAATGCTAGAAAAGTCTTATGATTAAGACAAATCCTCCTTACAACGAGGGAACTCTATGTCTAGCAGTAAATTTACGGCAAATAAAAAAGAAAAGATGATGAATCAATTGAGTCCCCGCCTTGTCATCGACGGTCTAATTTCGTGTACTGCTTCCATTGTCTAGTGGTTGTAGTACTGCGACTGCTGATCGTGAGGTTTTAGGTTCGAATCTCGGGTTGGGCCAAAAAATTAATTTTTGAGTTTTTCCGTCAAGAAATTCTCAGTAGCTGGCCGGGGTCAGGAAGTTGGCGGTGTCTCATCCCTGTGCCTCAGAAAGCACTTAAAGTCGTTGGTCCTGCGCCTGACCTCTCTCCGGTCGTGTCGATTTACCGTCCCCTCGGGCTATGGGAGTGAGGGAATAGAGAGTGCACCTGTGCTTGCACATACACTTGGGCACTATAATCCTGTCCTGCGCCGATGGTTAGTCTCCGTTGAGTCAGGAACGCCGTGACCGAAACTCTGTCTGGAGAACATTATTACTTTCGTTAAAACTTCCCGAAAACTTTGCAATGTGCAACATCAACATATGTAAAGAAGTTCTTAGCGGTCAGCCACCGCATAGTCTACTTCACCTGGTGTAGAGGTGAAGCACGTGTCGTATTATCGAGGGTAGTGTGTCATTCCTAGTATGGTGGTGCTGAGAATGGTGGTGCTGGGAGTGGTGGTGCTGGGTAATGGTGGTGCTGGGTAATGGTGGTGCTGGGATTACTGGTGCTCCTCATACTAAACAGGACGCATTATTGTATTTCAATACGCGGAAATAAGTGAATTAAGTTCTAATAACTTCAATTTATTGGAGTTCCGCAAAGTAACACCTGACTCTATAAATTATATTGTAAAGAATTTTCGGCTAGACCCTGGCAAAAGTACTAATCGTAGAAGTACAAACCGAATAGAAATAAAAAATAGTTTATTTATAAATTCATCACAACGATAAAGAGATAAAAAATAACAAATGAACACATGACTGTACATATAAAATAATAGCTCTGACCCGAGTCATGTCATTAAAATATTCTCAACTCGGCAGTTTATCGCGTTTTTAAACACAACGTGTTTTCAGTTAGTACCCCGTTTCGTCAAATCCTTCATATAATCGTTTAGAAAAACGTCTAATCAACCGTAATTTAAAATTGATAAGTGAAAAAAAATATTTAATAAAAAATATGATCGTGCATGTGGTCCACAAAATAATAAATAAATAAAAGTTACAATAAGTAAATTAGAATTAATATATAAAGAAGAAGCATCTTGTTTCTGTAAATCAAATCATTTATTAATATCTTACATTTTGTCCCTGTAAAAAAATAAGGTAAGTTTGCTAAATGATCATATAAAAAATTTCAAATCTTTATTTTTGAAATCGTTAGCTCAGAAACTGACACAAAGTAATTTTTTAGCATCACTGAGGTTTTAAAAGAATAAATTGAAAATAAAAATTAACTAAGCTTTTAAAAATATATATGTAGACTATAGTAGCACGTGTTATAGAGCCGTTAATGTACAGAGAGGAATAAATTAATATTCTGTAGTGAATGTATTTATTTCTTTTTTGAAAATGTTCGCTTTTTTGCTACATTGTTGCTCATTTAATAAGTCTTTATTGATATTATATATTTACTGTAATAATTAGCAACTTTTTTTGCTTTAAGCATATATTTTAAATATATGAGTAGTTAAACATTACAACCGTAAACAATATATCAACTTTTATTAGACATTTAATAATATTAAATTTATAATAATTAAATGTTTAACCACTCCACGTGCTTGTGACACGTACTACTTATGGAAATCTAATACAAATATTTGGTTTTAACTCTTTGTCTAGTATTATTACACTAATTACATAAAATTGTCTTTATTAAATATATCTCTTTTTAATACGTACATAAATATAGTTTTTCGTTTATTTAAAGCTTAAGATACATTTAATTAAATATGATTCAATAAAGCAAACAGTCTCGGAGACCTTGCTTACGCCCTATACTTGCGCCCTCCTTTTCTACTGCGCCCTCCTTTCTGCCAAGGAGGGTCGCGTTCGTATACAGCGTAGAGATCTCTAGTTAGACCGTTAAGCCAGTCCCTAAAAGGCGGTGTTTAGTGGGTAAAAGTCTTCACATAACCACGCAGCCGGCTGCGTGGTATGCTATGAGCATTCACCGCCTCCCTCCCCCCGCTTTCCGGAGAGTTGCCCATATTTGCTTCGGGCGCAAAAAAAAACCTTGCTTACATTATCGTGTGTTCTTTTAATATGACATGGAAGATTTGGAGCGCTGGCTGAACAAAATGCAACGACATGAGCAGAAAGCTATTATTTATTTAAAACAAGCCATTTAAACATTTTATAAATCAAATTACATCTTTTAATTTGCGAAGGCCTTTTAGCTTTTTACCGACGGAAGGTTCGTTTCGAAGGGTCGTTCTTATTGTACATAAGCTATCTAAATTTTTGGGAGAGATAAAATATTTAACACAGCATTTGCCGTGAATAATTTTATGCGCCGTTTATTTCATTTTATGCGGGAAAAAATTCTCTAATAGAAAATTAGTGGATAAGGGTAACACTTTTCAAAGCGTCTGCATCTAGTCTTAAAAAATTAAAATAGTCCTTTGTAAGCATCCTCTTACCATTTATGAAACTCGAAATTTATGAATCGTGTTAAACAAACAGCTGTAATGATTGCAAATGTATGTTAAATATTAAAAATATGTCATATTTCAAAGAAAGTTTAACGAAGTTATTCTCAGGTCCAAATAAAATGTTTCTGCAAAGCATATAGTTAATTTATTATTAAGTAACTAATTACTTTGTCATTTCCAAATTCCAGATGTTGTAAAGACAATGAATGCTTTCACTTACTTTGTACGTCTCGTTGCTCCTACTTCTGTGAGGATTATGGAGCAATGGTGCACCTTCACGCCCGTTGTAGGACTTTACACAATTTCTTAGATATATTACAAATTAATTAATTAGTTTAAACGTGGTAGAGCCATGCTGCAGGTTTATTAGTAGTATAGTTTTAGCACGAATGGGTCGGCTCGACCGGGGAAGAACCACGCTCTCACAGAATACCAGCGTAAAATAGTAGCTGTATGCTGCTGTGTTTCGTATGGTGAGTGTAGAGAAATAGAGACCCTTTTTACTGGAAACGAGGCATTCGTGACAACTGACAACGCATCTGCATTTTGATTTGTATGCGAGGATAAATGTAGATGTCTATGGGCCGCAGCAACCACTTATCATCAGGTGAACTATTTGCTCGTTTGTCACCCTATCCTATAAAAAAAATATTTTTTCTAAGACACGAAGGTTTATTCACGATGTTTTCCTTTATCCCCGAGCACGTGTTAAAGAGCTGTTTAAAGTGCAATTAACATTTTTATTGGTGTTGGTGAGGATCAAACTCGATTGCTCGCGTAATGTAATATTTTGAGTGAGTGCGTAGTCTGTGAGCTACGTCGGCTTTGTTATGAACCTTTATAAGTAATAACCTTTATAAAAACACAAAAGAAAGAAATTGCAGTACAGTAAAACCAACATTATCCTTTACAATTTCTTCATTTTACAAACATGTGTTTTTCTCACTAGGGCCCATTTCACAACACCTGAAATGCCAACCGCGGCGGACATGCAACTCGCTGCGGCTATTGGCTCTAAAGGTGAGAAATCTTCTATATGGATAAACGTAAACTAAGGCCTTTAATATAAGAGCGTGCGCGTGTGTGTCGTGTGTGAGTGAGACCTTTCATGATGAACATTCCGCCCCGCCGAACGCTCTTCAGTGAGACCTAACCCTGCAGCTTATGTGGTTCGAACTTACAGTTCACAACATAATAGTACCTAACTGGAACTACAGCCCATGGGCATCGACCGACTGACTTCAGTTTAAATAACTTTATTTTAATTATGACAATTTTCACTGTAACGTTTCCCCCCCCCCCCCTCTCATAATAATAAATATGTATGATATTAAATATATAATATATTATTAATTTAACGATTTTCAATAAAATTATATATTTGTGACCAGGATAAATAAAATACGTTTTGATCTTTCTAAATGATCTTTCTAAAGGTTTAATAACAGGCCGTTTGTAATATTTTTAGCGTGATCGTCTTAGTTAGGACCTTATAACGCTGTGTTTGTTTAGTAACTTAGTTCTTTTAGGTGTCTTTTGGAAGAATGAATATTTACTAGAGCAATTGAAAGCTATTGCTAGTGCCTCTTATAAGCTAAGTGAACCCCGTACACGAAGACAGGGCTCGAGAAAGGTTAAGAACATAAAACGTCCCTATTCCACTTGTATCAGGTTTGCATTATTAATTTATTATTAATTATCCCTTCCCGCTTGGAAAAGGGCTCACAATATTTTTATACAAAGTACCCGACACAAGGGCTTCGCTCTCCTACATTTATTTAAAAAAATGTAGGAGAGGCACACGGCTCCACACACGCCGTGCGCGGTGAGCGCCAACCATATTGATGCATTCCCACCGAAGGGAACGTTAATTCGGGAATTAGACCGTAGTCCACAGCAAAATAACTGGTGAACCAGTAAAAGAGACTTGGCCCCTTATTAGTGCGTAAGCACAAACATCGACCGAAGTCGCGCATGTCAATGCCTGTAAACGCCATACAGATTACGAACGAATCCAGCCACAGTGAATGTACGTCACACGGTTTAGACAAATAGGCACGCTGGCCGTAAACCCTCCATGTTTGCCTCACCCACCAACAAGTTGCCTTCTTCATTCAAATGTGGGAAAGTTACGGAGATATATTATTATGTTGTTATATAAAACATCGTGGAGGGCAGACAGTCTGCAGACTTTGGTAACAAAGTTTGTATTGTTGTTAACTAAAAAATATCACCAACGTATCATAGTAGCACGCTACTAAGACGCCAATGAACGAAACTCCACGTATCATAGCGCTAATGCACTAAGACATGAAGTTGAGTACGCCTGTTACACTTAAAAGTGCTACCAAACACACACATCCCAATCCGAAAGATAGACCACGCATCGCTATGCGCTACGACGTCGCCCACAAACGGTATGGGTGTGCGATGTCCACGGGAAAGCCGTATTGCTACGAAAAACTCGCTTACCACCGGCACTAATATGTTGTTAACTAAAAACTGCACCAACGTATCATAGTAGCACGCTACTAAGACGCCAATGAACGAAACTCCACGTATCATAGCGCTAATGCACTAAGACATGAAGTTCAGTATGCTGGTTACACTTAAAAGTGCTACCAAACACACTCATTATCCCAATCCGAAAGATAGACGACACATCGCTATGCGCTACGACGTCGCCCACAAACGGTATGGGTGTGCAATGTCCAAGGGAAAGCCGTATTGCTACAAAAAACCCGCTTACCACCGGCACTAATATGTTGTTAACTAAAAACTGCACCAACGTATCATAGTAGCACGCTACTAAGACGCCAATGAACGAAACTCCACATATCATAGCGCTAATGCACTAAGACATGAAGTTCAGTATGCTGGTTACACTTAAAAGTGCTACCAAATACACTCATCATCCCAATCCGAAAGATAGACGACGCATCGCTATGCGCTACGACGTCGCCCACAAACGGTATGGGTGTGCGATGTCCACGGGAAAGCCGTATTGCTACAAAAACCCGCTTACCACCGGCACTAATATGTTGTTAACTAAAAACTGCACCACGTATCATAGTAGCACGCTACTAAGACACCAGTGGACAAAACTCCACGTATCATAGCGCTAATGCACTAAGACATGAAGTTCAGTATCCTGGTTACACTTAAAAGTGCTACCAAACACACTCATCCCAATCCGAAAGATAGACGACACATCGCTATGCGTTACGACGTCGCCCACAGACATACCGTCTGGTGTGCGATGTCCACGGCAAAGCCGTATTGCTACAACAAACCCGCTTACTACCGGCACTAAGATGATATGTCTAGGACACATCGGTTAGCGAGCCCAAGTTTACCTCGGACCAATTGCTCGAGAAGCAGCATACACGCCACCATAATAATCCTTTTTCAAGTCCCTATTAAGGACTAGTCATTTTGCTACATTACTAAGAGCAGTCGATCGCCCGACTACCCCATATAATGCTTATGCATCAAGGAGACCTTCTATAATAATGCTTTTGTATCATAGACCTTACTTTCATAAGTCATTAATATGGAGGACTTCAGCCTACGATTCTACTATTGTAATGCTATTTCATCATAGAGACCTTCTATAGTAATGCTTTTGTAACATAGACCTTACTTTCATAAGTCATTCATATATAGGACTCGATCCCACGACCCCATTATTGTAATGCAAATTCATCTTAAAGACCTTCTATAGTATTGCTTTTGTATCATAGACCTTACTTTCATAAGTCATTAATATATAGGACTTCAACCCACCACCCCACTATTGTAATGCAAATTCATCATAGAGACCTTCTACAGTATTGCTTTTGTATCATTGAGTTTGTTATCATAAGTCCCTAATATAGGACTAGTCATTGTGCTACAGTACTTCAAGCAGTCGGGCTCCCGACCACCCCATATACATATATGTACAACTGCAGATATGTATCTCCGGCAGCTCCTCCATACAAGACATCTATATTATATGAACACCTTCCACAACTTAGGAAAATTTTCTTTTATACATGAACTCCTTCCATGACAATTTTTAACAAATTTTCTAATTATCTTATAAATGTTATTTATCTTTATTTTTATAATATTTTCGACTTGTATTTCTATTATTTATCATATTTTAAATATTTTTACAAGTTTTCATAATAAATTTATTTATTATGAAAGACAATATTTTGCCTTTAATTTACTATGTTATTGGTCTAATATCTGAAATGTATTTATATTAACTTTATGCTTATTAATGTAATTTTATTGCTTGATATATATATATATATATATATATATATATATATATATATATATATATATATATATATATATATATAATTTTAAGACTACTTTTGATGCCCCTTATATTGAATTTAATTATTAATAATAATTTTGGGCAGTCACATCACTTACATGAGAATAATAATATCTGTATTAAAATTATAATAAAATATATAATTTCAAGTGCGAGCGGGTAGTAAAAATACGTCGGTCAATCGTCAACCAAGAAGCGAGTTCATTATGTTCCTCCCTAACACTAAGGCGGTGGTCCAAGTTAATTTTAAATTCGTAGTTTCATCATAATACTTAAATATATTAAAATAAATTCTTTCACACTCTTTCGAAGTTGATTGAATAACTGTGCTCGCCAAAAGTTATGTTAATTTTACCACAGTTGGTGCTTACGGCGGGTCACACAACATTACTGGCTCGGCTGCTAATAATACAATTTTTTTTGTACTTTTTAGTGTTTTCTGCCGGTGGGAATTCAAAAATTCAAAACTTTTAGTAGTAGTTATTTTTCAGATTTTTTTATATCAATAAAAACCCGCGTTAAAGAACATATAGCTGATGTGAAGAATCGACGCTCCGGAAAGTCTGCAGTCTGTGAACACGTACAGGATCGCCCCGTCACTACATCAGATTTGATAGACCGCAGATCCTCGCTAAAGAACACCGATTCCTTCCAAGGATGATTCGCGAGGAATTGAAATCAAAAATGATATTGAAATCAAAAAACATCCTAATTTCAATAGAGAAGATGGCTGGGTGCTACCATCTGCTTGGGATCCTATAATAAATAAAATTAAATCCCAACCCAAGCATACAACTGCAAGACTTCAAGATACCATAAGTTCATACTGCATAGATCGGAACAAAAGTTAAATTTTAATCTATGGTAACCGCGGTTAACTATGACATATGGACGTTGAACATCTCAGTCCTACCGTCCTACCCGTGACCATGAGTGCTGTAAAGCGTTCGAAGCGTCGGGTATTTAAAAAGTTAAATATACGCGATAAATTCCGTAAAAACTAGTATTATTTTCAACTTCAATTTATAAATACAACTTTGCAGGCCCCTTAACTTTCTTTTTCACTTACGTTTCTTTATTTTCATTTAGTACTAAAGCATCTATGTCTATTGATGTCAAGGGCGGTACTGGTCGTTGTGTCCAGTGTTTAACAACCCTGTATTATCTGAAAAAAGAAACGATTGCAGTGCCTATTAGTAGATAGATTTTTAAATTGTTTTTATTTCATACATTATTGATTTTGTTTTATTTTATATCGTTTGTAACTAACTTCTCCACTACACCTTTCACAAATTTAGTTTATAAATTATTTAGATTAGTGGAGGCGTACGTGAATCCACTAGCCCATATCACCCCGAGGATGTCGTTACAGGTGTCTGAGGGAAATAAAATAGGAAGCCGCATCTTATCGGTAAAGCCTAATAAATAAAAACTGCGGCTGATAGCCCTCCTGCAAAGTGTGGTAACTATGATAAATATCCCCCCGCCCCCTCCATCATGCAATCCACGGGGAAGGACTTTATTCAGAAGTGGATTTAATGTAATGATTGAATATGAGCAACATACGAATTAGCAGTCCATTTTATTTTATGTGGCTTGGCCATCCCATTGACACCTGCAATTAATCTAAGCAAAAAGACCACAGATGCTTTGTTACCCTTGAAGGCTAAGACAAAATGCCTTGCAGCCTGCAGCCATGCTGGTTTTTTAAACCATTCACACCAGAACCGAGCAATGGGTTTTGTATAATTTTATAAAATTTTACTTTTTTATTATAAAATTGAAGTAACAAATGGTTTTACAATCCATCTGATGGTAAATGGCTATTGCTGCCAATGGACACATGCAACGAACTTTAAGGAAAGAAGTCTATAGATACGGTATGTCTCTACTAAGACATAATGCTCAATAGCGTGTATACCGGCCCGATACATCCCGCACGCTATTATGTACGTAGTGCTGTTTAACGGCAGAAAGGGAGGAATCTTAGGAAGGAAAGCTATTATACCACCTAGAATGAACATTGTCAGAAATTAGAAAGACACGGGCCTAGTTAGACAAATTTATCTATAAACGTGTTCGCTCTTACTTTTTACATTTTCATCACTACATTTATTTTTTTATTATCTAACTAAGTCTATACTCTACTACTACCTATAAAGAAGAAATAGGTATATTAATAATTTTCTGAGGTAGACATTAGCGAGATTGAGATCTTTCAACATTTTTTATGGAGTAGAGGTTAAAAAAACATAAAGACCTCCTGATTCTCCTGATACATCGATTAAGATTCAAAATGCATATGCGTTGTCACCAAGAAAGACCACAGATGGAATGCCTCTTTTCCAGTAAAAATGGTCTATTGTTCTCTAAACTGACCATGAAATACACAGTTGCATTATTCTACTATTTTACGCTGGTATACTGTGGGAGCATGTTTCTTCCTAGGTCGGACCATTTTGTGCTACAACTATAATAAAACTGAAGCGTGGCTCTACCACGTAAAAAATAACGTAGTTATTGTAACCTTTGTAGTTACTGTTGCTTAGAAAAGTTTGTAAACTAACGAGTTAAACTAGAACTTATGATTATTCTATGTTGATGTTAAATAGTTTTTTTTTATATATTTGTTTAATTCAGGAGCAAGCACGTGCATAGGTAAAGCATTGGTTTTGCTACCAGCTTTAGCTCAGTCATTACTGGCAGTCAAATGAAAACATTATAGAAAATTGTTTAAGGTAAGAAAAGTTGTTATACCGTATTAAATCATTCTTTTTTTTTGCTTTTGCGATCTCGTCCATTCAAAGGTATGGAAAAAATACTGAAGAAAAACAAAAGACACACACACAATACTGAATGCTTTGTATGCAGTAAAAAGGACCTGCGATTATCCTTACTCCCCATTCAAAACACAGCAGCCATTTCACACTGGTATTCTGTGAATATCCCAAATGTGAATGTAAAAGTTAATGTCACTAAATAAAAATAATACATATTTCGTTACAGGCATCACACTGAATATCTACGCACCGGGTGAAATTCCAAGTGTTCCAGCTATTCGTCTAGTCATGTTGTCCAAAGTCATATCTTAAAACAGAAAACAATTGCAGAGAACTTTAGGTGAAATAACACAATTTTAAAATTGGCTTTTTGTGTATTATAAAATAACGTAAAAATTTTGGCGTTTTACAAATATTATAGTTATTTAAATGTACATCTCTATGATATGAAATTTTATATTTCAGAATATTTTTCGTCGCTTGAAATCAAATATAGAAAAATACGTGTGGCACTTGGTGACTGCCGCGGTAAAGCTATTGCATATCATTTTTTATCAACTTATGCAATTATAATTATTTATTTATTTTATTTATGCAGTTAAGTCTTTGATATTAAATCAAGTTACACTTTTTGAGAGTGGTGACCGATAAGAAAACAATTTTTTTCTCTTATTGAATAAATGAGAAGTTAATATTGTTTAAAATATTTTTAATATCTTACAATACATGTAGGTTATTCAGGAATTTTTATCATTCAGTTAGCAGCTAGTGTACACGCACACAAACACCGTGCCGAACTCTGCCGAGTGCCGAAGTCTGCCGAACTAAAACGACGTTAGACCGTTAGACGATGCACGGCTTTCAACGCCACACCTTCGTGCCCGTCGGAGTGGGGAGCGTGAGGTTTTTTCGTTACGGAATTTCTGGATTCGGTCCCCGCGCTCAAGGCCCGCGATAGAAGCTATGCAATAGCTTAATAAAATTGTAAATATCATCCTCTATATTTTATATGATTTTATGTTGGTGAAGTATAAAAAAAATTGCAATTTTAGGCCTAAGGCTGATAATTTTTAAATAGACACAAAAGTGTTCGAATTAGGTGATACATAAAATATTTTAATTAGATTATATCTTTAAGGTTTTTAGTAATAAATGTCACTTTTTTGCTAAATTGTTTTTGAATGATAGTATTGTGTATTTATAAAGCAATCGCATGTCACCAAATAGAACATGGTTTTTAAATTATAATTTTTGTGACTAATTAATAAATTATTTTAGTTAAATTAAATATTTACAAAACAAACTATTTGCTGTCTCTACATTGCATTATGTATGTTTATATGAAAAAATAATTAACGATATACGTATAATCTGTACAAAGTCGTAAGAATATCTTTCATCATTTGAAGAAGGGATAATCCCTATATTAACAGCGTGACGCATTTTTTTTCATTAATTTGCTCAAAACAGTTCAATATGAACTGAATGACAATATTATGTAATCTTATATCTAAGTTAAGAATCCACTCATCCTTATTCCGTGATCCTTGGTGAAAAAATTGTAATATAGCTTTTCGCATCGTGCGCTCTATCAAAATTTGTTTAATTGTTATAAAACAACGCTTTGAACATAATAACAGACTAACAAATGTAACAAATAATATATATTTATTCATAAATATTATGAAGTAAGCTGTAAATTTTCTTTTGTGTAAAATGAAGTTACGATGTATCTGCTGTACATATTGTCATTTATGGATACGATCCAATAAAAAAATTTTGTAAATAATTATGGACGTCAATAACACAGACGTTGTGTATTTATTAGTTTTATTTTGTCGCTATTATTTTGCTTATAGTAATATAAAAAGTTACAACTTTAGTCGCATCAGACGACAGAGGGAAACAAATCAGGATATGGGAAGCAGCATTTTCTTTATAAAGACTAAAATAAAAAGCGATTGCCAACCCGATTTCAAGCGTGGCAACTATGGCAAATATGCCTGAGAGGCAATCTAAGGGATGCACCTGTGTCCAGCAGTGGACTGTAACAGGCTGTAACGGTAACGGTATAACTAAGGTGAGATATTAGTGGGAATGCTGTCGTTAGAATTTTAATTTACTAAAAGCACCATTTGAAATTGTCAATAAAAGTATTCGTTTTCCATTCCATTGCAACCTATATAAGTCCACTGCTGAATAAAGGTTTCAATGATTTTTTGTTTTAAGTGTGCTTTAATAACGTTTAGTTGTTATTAGGAAGATGCTGTTGCGCATCTCCTGTGTCAGTTTCCCTCCGTCAGCTCCTATGACCCTCACGGGACACTATGGGACAGTGGATGTTCTTACATCGACACTAAATGGTTGATTTTTTTTTGCTTACTTTAAATTTCTACTTGGTTTTCTAAGCAAATACGACATAAATTGTCTTTAATCCAACTGGTATGCGAAGGCATTTCATCCTGCAAAAAGAGAGGGAAATTGAAAATAAAGTGAAAGTGGTCGTAGAGTTACAAGCAACAACCGTATAAAGGCGGTGTAAGAATATCCACTACCTATATTATCCTACGGGTGTCGTAAGAGGCGACAGTTTTTCTATTAAGAACTAAAAATTAAAATAAAACTCCGGTTTCCAACCCGTGCGGTCAAGCGTGGCAGTTATAGAAAATATCCTCCCAATTAGGCAATCTATGCGAGAGGCCTACCTTCAACCGAGGACTTTTGATAGCCTGTTACGGTAATGGTACAATAATAGTTCTCTCGCTATCTACTATATATCTACGCTGCTATCTACGCTGCGCTAGCTACGCTATCTACGCTGGGTCGTTTACTCGTACAATAATTGTAAAATAATTATTATGTTGCCTGCTTTCTACACTTCTTTGCACTTGATTTACGATGAGAGTATCAATTAAGTTGACTAAAATTCAAGATATGTAAAAGTCCAATAGCTTTTAAAAATCTGAAAGCTTGCTGCAAACTTTCATATATACCATATATTCTCGAATTCTTATACAAGAAACGGTTACTTTATTTGGACAAATGAATAAAATGGAAGTGTCCGTTTGTAGTGTAAAAATAAAAGTTTTTTACAAAATGCATATGAAAGCTAATACGAGACTTATACCAAAAAAAAAACAATTTACTAAATATTTTTGTCTGTTTGTTCCGGCTAATTTCCAACATGACTGGACTGATTTTGACGGGACTTTCACTGGTAGATAGTTGATGTTATAATGAGTTACATAAGCTAATTTTACTCTGGTATAAGATAGTTCCGCGCAAAAATATTAAAACCCATGATATCCAGTCGTAACCATTACGACGCAGATGAAGTCACAGGGAGCAGACAGTATATACAAAATCGTATAACATATATAAAATCGCCCTTTAGAAAATTCTCTGAAACTGTTTCATTTCAAATTTAACTATTTTAGTAGAGCTGCGCAACCGCCGTTAATTTTTATTTTATTTATTTATTCACTACTCAGGTAAATACACCCATTTTGTTAGTACTCTTAAAATTAACTGAAATTATTATTTACGTTTTTATGACTGCAGCACCAATGCGTCGGCTCGAACGGAGAGGGTGAACTTTCGAATAACTAGCATAATAGGCATTAAAATATTGCTATGTTTCGTATATAACAAGGGATTCCCTCAGATTTTAGGAGTGACAACAAATCTGCATTTTGATTCCTCGTCGATGATATACGTAGGTGTATATAAACCTAGGCATCCATCCGCTTACCATCAGGTGGGCTGGTGTTCGTTTGTGGGTGACCTTACTTGTATAAACAACTTTAGTTATTATCTGCACAATCACATTTCCTAATCCTATAGAAATTTTATACAATACAGGAAATCAATATAAGTGCAGGGCATCCAAACCTAAAACAAATAATTTGTAAGTCCGGAAACATTGACTTTGGTGAGGCTTCGATCCCACCTGCCGTGATTTAAAAAGAATATTAGCAGATAGCTTTTCTTGTATAGAATAAGGGTGACAAACGAGCACAAAGTCCACCAGTCCATGATAAGTGGATGCTGTGGCCCAGAAACATCTACATTTATACTCGATTAAGAATAAAAACGTAGATGCGTTGCCACCCCTGAGAACTAAAATGGAATGCCTCGTTTCCAGTAAAAAAAGGTCTTGGGATCTCTACACTCACCATAAGAACCACAGCAGTATTAAGTAGCTATTTTACGCTAGTATTCTGTGAGAGCGTGGTCCTTCACCGGCCGAGCCGATCCATTCATGCTAAATTAATAATATAGCTGCAGCGTATCTCTACCACGTAGGAAAAGCTTAACGATTGCTTATATTTACGTGAAAACTACACAAAGTAAAATTGGAGTTGGCTTTTGTTAAATATGACATCAGGACGTCAATCAAACGTCGGGAATCGATGAAATCTGCAAAATTTTATTTATTTAAGTTGCCTTCGAGTCACAATTATCGCGTATCACACACAATAAGTATCAATGCAGATTTTCATAGGGAGATCGGAAGAATAGACTTTCCACAATAATTTATAAAAGCTCTATCAATCAAACGCAAACCGTACAACCCCTCTAGTTATAAAACATTTTCGGATGCATTGGCACGTTTTAGTGGGTTTTGGACTTATCGATGAATAATAGATGCACTGGTTTCGTTCCCCAGACGAATTACTGAACTAAACTATTGAGCACGCCACTTCTGACCGTCAGCGTAACTGATAAATGGTCTATTGTTTGCAAACACAGGGTAGAATGGGGCGTGCGAACAAAATAGTGAAATGTAGGTTATATTTAAAATATTAAAGTAAAGTAGTAGTAAAGTTAAAAAGCATGTAAAGCTGTTAGTCCTGTGCCTGATCTCTCTCCGTTCTTGTCGGATAACCATCAGACTCTCATAGAGTGAAGGAATAGAGAGTGCACCTGAGTGCACTTGTACATACACTTAAGCATTATAATCCTGCCCTGCGGCAGATGCAAATGAATGTTTTCAATAGTTTTTCCTCAATAAAGAAATTATTATTATAATAAAGTTGGTTCAATAACGGCATACTAGATATAGTAAAAAAATACTTTTTATTAAAAAACCGGCCCGACGTGCAACGTTACATCAACAATTAGTGACTTTTATGATTAAAGTGATTGATAAAAAGTTGCTCCTGAATTTCATTGATACCTGCAATCAATTTCATAAGACGAAGATGGAATACCTTACAGCCTGTAATTTTACTGTATTTTTTAACCTTCAAATCGGCACACGGAGGTGCACGTACTGCTATTTGACAGCAGGAATAGGTACGATAATGGCA